CGTGAGTAGACGGCGGCGCACAGCAGGTGGCGCGGTGTGCCCCCGTCCACTCGGCGGGGTCGCAGCTGCCTCTGCGCGTCCTGGGGAGGGACAAAAGTGTCGCCGCCGGAGACGACTCGACGCCGCTGAGATCGGAGATCAAGCTCTGACAGGTCGCACGTCGCTCCTTTGACGCCGACGTGACTCACCCGTGCAGATCACATCAGGACACGGTCTCGACACGCTCGGTACGACGCCTGCGACCCGTCTTGGGTCAGGTGGCACGACGCTCATCGCGCCTACCAGCGCTGCCGTGCAGGCTGCCACGACAAGGTCGAGCACGCTTCTATACGCTCGCCCAGCCTTCCTTCGCACACGGCGCACTCGCACCGAAATAAAAGAAACACACGAACATATACACTCTCTCATCTACAGTACACACATGACATGCACACAGGACAGCACGCTGCCAGAGGCAGAGGGGCTGGCCCAGGTCCTCTCCCATATCGCGCATCGGCGACGCCAAGATTCCGTTCTTCACACGACGCGGAGAAGCCGCTCTCCACTCTCTAACACAGTACACATCTCACAGCCTGACAGCTAGCCTCACGGTGACGACGGGAGCGGAGGGTGCGATCGTGAGCGTCACGGAGACATGCACGGAGACAACGCTCGCTCCGCCTCTGGACGAGGTGCTGCTGTAGTACTGTCCGAGGCGGAAGGGGACAGTGCCCTTGGGCGAGGCCCATTCCGGCGCGAAGAGCGGGAGCGGCACGACACGCAAGTCGAGCGAGACACGCGTCACGTCCGTCGTGTTGGCCACGTTGTAGTGCACAACCTGGTTGCCGTGGAACTGCACGAACTGGCCGCGCGACGCCTCAAAGGGCGCAAAGTCGCCCGCGCCCGGTGACGACTCACACTGTAGTGAGTTGGCCCCCCACACCCGCTCGACGAGCGGGATCCAAAAGTTGATCTCGTTGGGCTGGTGATAATAATCGGCGTCGCAGTGCCGAATGCCGAGCGATCTCGTGCCCGCGAGATGCACGCGCATCGACGGCTCCGCCTGGTAGACAAAATGCTCCCAGCGATCGCCAGTCGCCGCTCGCAGCCGCTTCGCCACGAATCTCGCGACCAGCTCGTCGAGCCGGCGGCGCGCCTCGGGGTTGAGCGAGCGGTCGATGAAGGAGAGCCAGCGGCGGCGGAACGGGTCGTGTCCAGAGCGTGTCGCGTGCTGCTGGCAGTAGACGCCGGCGGGCGTCGTGTGTAGCCGTGCGAGCTCCGCCGGCTCGACGCCCAGTGCCTCGCACACAAAGTCGGTGAACGGGTACTCGCTCTCGTCGTAGTCGTGCACACGCACCTCCGCCGGCAGCAGCGTCGCCGCCCCTCGCGTCGACCCGGTGCGTTTGTGCCTCAGTCCTCGCTCCGCGCGCTCCGAATCTGGCGCCACGCGCACGCGAGCGGATGCTGCGCCCGCCGCCAGACGAGTCGCTCCAGGCTGGCCGGTGGCGCGAGGCTGCAGCTTCTCCTTTGCACCGGCCTCCACTTCGCACGGGTCATCGCACGGGTCATCGCACGGGTCATCGCACGGAAGCGCGCGCGGAGCCGCCGCTGCTGCCGCAGCAGCGGGCAGACTGTACAGCGCTCTGCTCTTGCCAAAGGTCTTCCTCACGAACTGGCCAAACTCGAGGTGACGTGAGGCATGCGCCACCTTCGCGCCAGCAGCGACGTCGTCGTCGTTGTCTTCAGCGAGTGAGAGGGCAGCTGAGCGCTGGAGACGAGCACGCTTGGCGGCCGACTCTTCGTTCGGGTCGAGAAACTCGTGCCGAAACGAACAGGTGGCCTCCTCACACGCCTGACCACGAGCCCACTTCTTGCAGAGCCGCGCTGGTGAAAAGTGTGGCGGCGGCACGGTGGGCACCAGTGCACCCCCTTCCGCCAGCGACTGCTGGGACTTGAAAGCATCAACGCCCAACGCTCGAAGCTCTGCGCGAAGGCCGTCAGCCGTTGCGTAGTCCTTGCGGTCCCTCGCCGCCACCCACTGCTCGAGCAATTCCTCCATGTTCGCCATGATCTCGAATGATCGCGCGGTCGTCCCCCGACAGACACGATGCGAAGTTTACTTTCGGGCCTAGCAATAATCATCCTCTGACCACCAACCAACCAGCCGTCGCCGTCAAGTAGTAGGGTGCCCACACAGGGCCCAAAAAAAGAAAGGAAAAAAGGAATGGGTCACCCTGAACGCCACGAGCAGGCGCCTTTTGGAATGGGGAAAAAGAAAGAAAGAAAGAAAACAGACAACCCAAGGGAGGGATGGGAGGACGGCACGCCGCCACCACACAGGGATTTTAAGGAGAGGAGTGTGATGCGCTAGCCGTCGCCCACCCTAGGGAGTCTGCCTATCTCTTTTCGCAGTCTCTCGCCGATTCTCGCTGCAACCTTCATGCCACCTCGCGGCCGTCCCACTCTCGTCGTTCTCTCCCTTGTCACTTCCTCCTCTGTCGCGTCATTCTCTTCTGCCTCGTCCTGCGCCGCCGCCGCCTGCCGTTCCCTTGTTCTCTCGGCTTCTTTCGCCTTTCGGCGCAGCTCCGCCCTCCTTGCTGCATATCCTGGCCCCTCGAGTCTATCGAGCTCCCCTCGCGCAAGGACCACATTTCTGACTCCCACTCCGATCATTTGCCTCCAGGTCATGTTGTTGCTCAGGTCCACTCTCTCTTCGAACACTCGTGCCTCTACGGATGATGCCGGCGCTGGGGTCCCCTTCGGATGCATCGTGACATCTGACAACTGAATTTCCACTGGTTCGTCCTCCTCGGAGTCATCTTCCCCGTCCTCCTTCCGTTCGGCTCTTCGCTCGGTACGTTCGGTGTGGCTCACCCTCCATGCCGTGAACAGGCGCTTTATCCACCCTATTTGGAATGGGGAACCCTCGTTGACGAGAAAAATTCTTTTCTCGCGATGTCCACCCCGCCGCGCCGCTCGCGCCGCTCGCGCCGCCTCGCCTCCGCCTCCGCCGCCGCCGCGCCCTCGCCAGCCACGCCGCCGCCCGCCCGCCTCCTCGACCTCCCCACAGAGCTCCTCGTGCGCGCCCTCTCTCACTGCGACCCCGCCGACATCGCTCGCGTCGCGGCCGTCTCGCTGCTCTTCCACGCCTCGCTAGCGCTAGAGGGCATCCGCTTGTGGGCGCAAGAGCGCGGCTTCGAGCTGCCGGCGCAGCCAGAGGGTGAGGGCTGCGCCGTGCAGTGGCTGTGCTTTGTGGCGCTGCTTTGCGAGGCCAACCCGCCGGCGAGGGCGGCGGCAGGCGACATGCGCGGCGTCTTCATCGACGGCGAGGGGCGGCTCTCGTCGTGCGGCTCTGCGCCGCATCACAGTCCAGGCCTGCTCGGCCACGGCGAGGGCGTGATGCGGCTCAACTCGCCGACCCGCCTCCCCTCCACGCTGGGTGAGCGCGCCGTGAGCGTGTCAGCTGGCTTTAGTCAGAGCCTTGCCCTCACCGCCAACGGCGCCGTCTGGAGCTGGGGCCAGGGAGGCTTGGGCGCGCTGGGCCACGGCGACCATGAGGATCAGTGGCAGCCGACGAAGATCGAGGCCTTTGCTGGCCAGCGCGTCGTTGCTGTGTCGGCTGGTTACCACCACAGTCTCGCCCTCACCGCCGACGGAGCCCTCTGGAGCTGGGGCTGGGGAGGCTTTGGCCAGCTGGGCCACGGCGACAAGCAAGAGCAGCTGCTGCCCAAGAAGGTCGAGGCCTTGACTGGCCAGCGCGTCGTCGCCGTGTCGGCTGGAGCGTTCCACAGCCTCGCCATCACCGCCGACGGCGCCGTCTGGAGCTGGGGCTGGGGAAGCTTTGGCAAGCTGGGCCATGGCGACCAGCAGGACCAGCTGCTGCCGAAGAAGGTCGAGGCCTTCACTGGCCAGCGCGTCGTCGCTGTGTCGGTTGGAGCTCTTCACAACCTCGCCATCACCGCTGACGGCGCTGTCTGGAGCTGGGGCGATGAAAGCTATGGCCATTTGGGCCACGGCGACCAGCAGTACCAGCTGCTGCCCAAGAAGGTCGAGGCCTTGGCTGGCCAGCGCGTCGTCGCTGTGTCGGCAGGAGAGCGTCACAGCCTCGCCCTCACCGCTGACGGCAGCGTCTGGAGCTGGGGCGATGGAGGCGACGGCCGGTTGGCCCACGGCGACCAGCAGGCCCAGCTGCTGCCGAAGAAGGTCGAGGCCTTGGCTGGCCAGCGCGTCGTCGCTGTCTCGGCGGGAGGCAGCCACAGCCTCGCCCTCACCGCCGACGCCGCTGTCTTCACCTGGGGCAAGGGCGAGAGCGGCTGCCTAGGCCACGGAGAGGACCTGTCGAGCCAGCTGCTGCCCAAGAAGGTCGAGGCGTGGGCGCCGGGGCAGTGATGAGAAGGGCGAAGGGTGCAAGGCTCTGTGTTGCCACGTCGCACGCCTCTTCGCGCCGCCGGCACTGGGCTTGGGCGGCCCTCCGCCGACGCTCGCCACTTGCGACGTATGCGAGAGTTGCGAGGGGCGAATTCGGGAATGTACCGTATAGAGTGCAGCGACGACCCTGCAAGGGCGGCTCCCCCGTTGTAGAGGGCCGTACTCGGGTGAAACCAATTCTTTTTGTTTGTCGACCCCTCACCCCTCCACCGGACACAGCACCCTCGGGGTAGGCGCACGCGCGCGCGGGTGAGGGTCCCCCGGCGGGGAAGGGGGCGGAGCTCTGGGGGGAGGCGCGGGGGCCGGCCGGGCGATCTAGAGCGAGGCTTGACACGATCCGACCCTGCGATCCTGCTATACACGGCGGGCCGCAGGTATTCGTCCACACTCACTGCTCCGCTGTGCACTCCGCTGTGACTTTTGATGTTGCACAGATAGATAGCGGCCGACACGACAAAGAGAGGGTTTGAGCAAAACGTAGGGCGGAAGGAAGAAGGCGGGGGGCAGGCAGGGTGTGTGTGTGTGTATGTGTGTGCCTCAGGCGCTCAATCTGCCGATGCGTGATTGTGTGTGGGCTGCTCCGAGGGGGCCCTGTGCGATCCGACGGGTAGGGGGTCTGTGCCCGGGCGGTGTCCGGTGCAGAGTCTCCTTCGCTGAGGTCCCGCATGTGATGTTGGGTGTGAGGTTGTGGCGGCAGTGAATGAACCCAAGCGCCAAGGGGGGAGCTGATCCCACTCGTAACCAACTCTCAGGGGCAGTAGGTGGGCGAGCTTCAAGCGCGCTCATCTCGAACGACAAGGCGTCGCTAGGCGCGGTCTTCCGCGGGGGGAGCGTCGTCGACGGGTGCGGGACCGCGGCGCAGCCGGTGCCGCGACGATGCCTCCGGCTGTTTTGCGGCGGGCGGCTTGCTGCGCGCTGCGAGGGCGAAAAACTCGTCTCGTCGCACACCAAGAGCTTATGCTCTGTCGAGACGTGAGGCGCATGCGCCCAGGAGGGGAGGGCGCATGCGTAACGACGCTGCTAGAGATGCCTTTCGGGGCCTGCCCAGATAAAACTTCTGATGCCATGCGTGACCTAGTAGTGTCCCCAGCTATGGGCGTGTCCACGTTGGGGCCAGGTGTGGTGTGGACGCGAGAATAGCTCCGCCGTTCATGGAGGCAACCGATGCGAGTCGACTGGTGTGTGTCGTGGACGTTTCGTATCAATGGGTGGCGCCTCACCACCCCAGCCGCAGCTCAATCTACGAGGAGGCTCTCTGCACGTACGTGGTCGGGCTCGCCACGGTGGAGACCTTTCGCCAACTCAAGCAGTACGCAGAGGAGGGTTACCCGCTAAAATCGTACGTCGAGGGCGGAACGGGGCTCATCGAGGGCGAGTGGCACCTGCGAGACCTCGAGGCGCCCGAGGGGGAGGCGCTGGGCACCGGCTGGTACGAGGAGTTTCTGAAGTGGAGGCATATCCACCGGCGCGACCAACTCTCCTTCAACTATGTCGCGTGGAAGCTGGGGACGAGTGCGCTGCGCGGCTTCAAGTATGTCTCCACCAAGTTGGCGGGCGCGGTACCCTTCGACGCATCGCACATGTTGAAACATGCCGATCATCTACGCCGGCACGTTGCAAATGAATCTGCTCTGCAGAAAGCAACTAGGCCATCAAGCGGAATCTGCCCGAATGCCATATTTGCGCCCGGCAATCACAGGGAAATGGACCGGCTCATTGATGGAGTGAGGCGGCTTGCAGTCAACCAAGCCATGGCCCAAACCGTCGAGAACCGCCATGAATGAAACCGCGGGCGGGGTTGGCGCACAGATAGGGTGCCCACAGGGCCAAAAAAAGAATTTAAACAATAGAACTCTCTCTCACAGCAGACAGGCTCGACACAAAAAGAAAGGAAAAAGAAATGGGTCACCCCCGATCGCAGCACTTCGTGTTGTACAGCAGTCGAGATATTGAGATTGTGGCCAGGAGGGTGGGACGCTGGGGATTCTCAAAGGTATATACCCTTGGAATGGCCGGATCGCGCGCCGAGGCGCGCCCGGCGCGCGCCCGCCCGGCTGCCAGTAGGAGGCGGCGCGATATGGCCATAGTACAGCCCTTGAGGAGGAGGAAGAGGCTGGCTGGCAGTGCTGTATGCCGCCGGGGGGCAGTTTTGGGGTGCTGAGCAGTCGCGCCCAGGGGGCTGCAGAAAGCGTCCGCAACCGGGACAACCCGCCCCCCCAGCCGAGGCCGGTCGAAGCCCACTTGAGCACAGCCATGAGGAGTCCTCTTGGTGCTCCTGGCGGCCGTTCAAAGCTCGGGCGCGCGCGCCGATGGGGGGGGGGGTCTTGCTTGCCCCACACCGAGCGCCATCGGTCCGGACCGGCGTGCTCAATGAGGGGAGGCCTGCACAAGGCCTGAGCCGCGGCCGCTCGGCGCCAAGTGCAGTGTCACGCTCGCGCTGGAGCGGCTCACAATGGGGAACCCTCGTTTCCTATTCACTCGGTCCCCCAACGGAAGAGGCCTCGCTCCTATTGGAACACTCCAACATCAGATTTGCCTCGTGCGTCCCTTTTTGAGCCGGAAAGCTATATTCTTTTGGGTCCTGTGGGCACCCTAGCACAGAGTCCAACCAACCAACCACTCCCCCCGGCGACAGACAGAGAGAGACCTCTCCCGCCGGCAGAGCTCTACAGCTCTACAGCGCTCCAGAGCGCTCTACATCTCTACAGCTCTACAGCGCTCTACACTCTACATCCTCTACACGCCCCCTCAGCCTTCCCCCAGCCAGCACCTCTCGCAACAGCTGTCGCACGCCGCCGTCTGTGGCGACGCGCAGACAGAACATCAATCAATCAACAACTGCTCGCACAACAGACAGACAGAGGCGATCGCGTCGGACGCCCATCCCCCGCCCCCCCCCCCCC